TTATTATTATTATTATTATTATTATTATTATTATTATTATTATTATTATTATTATTACTATTGTTATTATTATTATTATTATTTCTAACAAAATGAATTTTGGGCGCTATACTTGCGATCAATTAGTTTTGAATGTGAATAAAATTTTTTGCTTTTTCTTTTTTTTTGGTTTGGTTTTTTTTCCATTTTTTTCCTTTTTATATAAAACAATATACATAAGTTTAAATAATATACATACGGCTTCGAGAATCGATTAAAAAGAAAAAACGTCGTTTGTATGAAATTTATTATCCACGGCATTGGTGTGCGTGTATGTGTACATGTACGTGTACGTGTAAGTTGTGTGAACATGTGTGTGTATGTGGTGTGTTAGAGAGAGGAGACACAAAAAATGTGTAATAATCATATGAACTGAAAATAAAGATATCGATTGTAGAGTTTACCTCAATTAACATGCATATATTCTGTCTTCAAACGAAATCATCTTCCTAATTTCTTGCAGTGCAAAATATGATGCCATATCATATACGAATGTAAAGTAACTGCCCACAGTGAAACTGACAGATTAATAGTAGTTCGCGTAGTCCAATCACAAGAAACAATTTTTCAAGTATATTATATCTGTACATACGTTTTCCATTCAACACCAAGCTGCTGGCACAGTAATAATTAAAAGATTGTGACATGATTTCTCTGAGACAGCAACTCAATAGAAGGTCGATATTTAGTATTCATTATGGATCCTGACTTGTACTTTGGGAGGACTCACAATTATGTGGAGTGCGAATTTGATGTGCTAAAAGAGGTGTGTGAACTGGAGATGGTCCAGGCTGTGGCTGATCTTCTTGCATTTGTTGTATTACGGAAACTTCGGGATAACTAAAATTAATAACACATCAAAATAATACAAATATATAATTAAATACTGTCACTTTAATGAATATTATTTATTTGAACACGTTGAATGCTATTCAAGTTTTACATGTTTTACCCTGAAGGATGAACCTCGTGGTCCCATGCAAAAAACAGTCATAAATGACAGACGTGGCAGTCAACATGTTAAAACATATATTTATGAAAATATGAAAAGTATTTTTTACAATAAAGAAAATAAATTAAAATTTTTTAAATATCTTACCCTATAGACGCAGATCCCCAAACTACACTACGACCAGATCGTAACAAGTCTCTCGCTTGGGACTGATAGTTAACTGCTTCTTCTACGCAATCTTCCCTGGTATCTTCGATTTCTGGTTCCATTTCAGAACAATAAACTACTGCTTTTTCCAAAGTCTTTTTAGCACTATTGCTACGTTCTAATCCAAATCCATTCGTTGAATCATTGGATTGTGCTGGAGGAGACCAATTATTGTATGGTAGTGTATAGGGTGCTGTCGGTGGATATGGTCTCTAAAAATAATTAATAATCAATAATAAATAAATATAAATATTTATATATGTTTATTAATCCGATATTATAATGAAAGTAATTTAACTTACTTTATCTAACTCATCGTGAAGCCACTCGACCGCGTGCATCCACTTTCGTTTTAATTCGGACGAGTGACACAAATATCGATGCGCGGCTCTACATTTGCTAAACAATTGTACCATACACTTTATACATTGGTATGCTCGTTTCTGTTGTTGATTTTTAGATTTCAGGATTATGTCAAATAATCCCTCTCTTTCTTCGAATAAACCTGTTAAATAATAATTGATAAATATATCATAGATACGTAAAAGTATTTTTTATTAACAAAAATATATATTTACCTTGAAGCGCTATACAAATACGATTATGCTGCAAATTATCTTCCATAAGAAGTATAGCAAGAAGAAGATCCGTGTGATGCCTTAATTCGTGCGCGTAAACAAAACTTATTTGTAGAAGTAATTCACTAATTACTGTCCGCGATAAAGTTATGTTTTCCCAACAACAAAATTGTAATAACTTGGTAGTATCTTCGGTAACATTAGCATCTTCTATTAACTTTTTCATATAGCTGTTAATACAATAAAAAGAAATAAAGTAACAGTTTGTTAACGTTTTATATTAATCATTATAAATAAACAATTAATAAAGTCTTATTACCTGTTCTCAACAAAAAGAAGTTCAGCTGCCTGCGGTTGAATAGGCATTAAATAACCCGACTGGCACGACGGATCACCATATGGATTTGGTAAAGGTGTATCTTTCGTTGTTGTTCTTGAAGATACGTCGCAACAACGTATCAACATGCTAACAACTTGATGAAGTTTAGTCAACTCGGGATATTGATATTTTATTGCTGGCCCAGGTCCTTCATCAATTGCAACTGACATAAATGTAACTGGAACATTAAGCTGAAATAAAGAAATTCAATTAACTATTTGTCAAGGACTGTATCATATCACTTATTATAAAATACATAGTTAAATTGATTTACCGTTAGCAATTGCATCTTCTCTTGCACTCCTAAATTAGCATACATATGAAATAATGAAAAATAATGTGGAAGATGCCGACCATGATCGGAAATTTCTCTTTGGAGTAACGAAAGTACTGCATGCATTAGATGATCGCTCAGTCTTGTAGTAGGTTCCACAAGTATATCTGTGAAAAGTATACGTGTACTTAAATAAATATCTATTATATATATTACAAATTCTTTCAATAACAGTGCAAACAATTTATTACAAGTAAGAATGCAAAAATATCGTTAAAAAATAGAATTTAAAAAATTAACATATTAATTCGAATATTTATCGATACTTTCATTTTGTATAAATACTTACTTGGTGAATTTATACTAGTAGGCATAGATGGGCCATCATGTAATGAAAAATGTGCAAGACACACCACAATTTTAACGAAAGCTGTTCGTACTTCGGTACTAGGACAACTTAATAGATATTCACAAAATCTAAGGATAATAAATTTCCATTAGTATTAAAAATCATTCAAAAGATATATATATATATATATATTTTTTTTTTAATTAACTTATGTACCTATGTGGATGATTAAGAAGAACATTGTGAGCAAACCAAGAACGTACTGCTTTACTACTACAAAGATGATGACATAAAATATCATTCCACTCTGTAGCTGCACCACGTAATGTTTTTTTAGTATGAAAACCAGTAAAGAATAGAAATCTTGAGGCTAATTGTACTGCCAACATTGACAACTCTTCTGCTTCTGGGCTCTGCAATCAATTTTGTCTTGTTTAATTAACATTAATATTTGAATTTTATTTCTTTATATTTTAAAAATATTTTTCTGTTGGACGGATAAAAATATATAAGTAAGAATTCTTCATCCTGTTTTGATCAAATTTTAATTTATATTCTTATTCCACCCACAAGAAATTTATTATATTATAATAAATTAATTTTTGGATAAAAAAAACTTACGGGTTTTTCGTTAAGATATTGTCTGTTAATATTATGATTATCAGGAGAGACTAATTTTTTAATAAATTGAAAATATTCAGCACTAAATTGATTTCGATTATGCATAAATTTAATATTCTGCTTTCTCACACTGTATTCAATAGCTTGCGGCATTTTCATTACACCTAGCTTAGTATCTGTAAAGATAATTAATTATAATATATTAAATTTACATCACTCTATAAAACAAATGAAGATTTGTAAATTAGAATATTGTAGGATACTTAAAACAGACCAAGTATAATTAACACAATACTCTACTAGTAATTAAGCATGTAGTATATACATATATAAAACAGTCTCACATGTGTCTCAATAATAATATATCACAAGAAGATTAAGTATTTATATTAATGAATATATAAATCTATATAAATATGACAATTAATACTTACATAATGACAATTCATTGAAACTTTTCATTAAAGAATTTTCTTCTATATCTAGTCTGGTATAAAAAAGCATATATGCATTCCACCATCGTTTTTGTTTACGATAACTCACTCGCTTCGATATATGATCAAATACTTCGCCCAAATAATCACCACCGAAGCATTGCGATTTCATTTCTTCTTCTTCTTCCATTTTACATTCCGTTACATCTCCGTCATCAAATTTATACCATCTAGCAGTACCATCAGTTTGCCTATAATAATAATACAGATATTTTAATAGAAATATTAATGTGATTACTGGTTTATAAATAAAGTATGTATTTATAATACAAACCTATGCAAAATATATGAATAATAATGGCCACCACTAGCCTGGCCACTATGTACTACGATGCCAGTTAATTGATACTTCGTACAAGTTCCTTTTATAGATTCCTCGTAATCGCAATCTATGACTTCACCTTCCAATTCGGCTAACCCAGAGACTGTATAAGGTTCCATATCCAGATCTCTTGGGAACTCGAAATAATCATTAAATTTAATAGCACAAACTCGTTCATAGTCATATTCAAACCTTTTTAGCTGTATCGCTAAAATAGGTGGCAGTTTTTTCACGCATAGCCTCTTCACAGTTACTACCTAAAAGAAAGCATAATAAAAGAGTACATATAAATAAGTTTATTCAAAGATTTATATAATTATATTATATTACATATTATATATTCATAAATATCATTATGAATTGAAAAAATTAAATACTTTTTTGTTGCACTTATCACAATGATAAGCATCGGCTCCTTCCAATAGTTCACCTTTCACATATTGTTCAAGAGAATCCAATAGATTACTATGATTTCTTATATCCACGCTAATCACACTGAACGGTTCTTCTTTGGAATATCTGGAGGTAATAGAACATGGTATTATAGTCTACCGAAAATAGAAGAATATAAGAATTAAAAAGGTACCTATGAGGGCAACCTTTGCAGATTTTTTGATCGCTATATGAGCCACCAAGTATTTTACTCATTATTTGCTCATGCCCCAAAGCTTTGAGTGCTTCGTCTAAACTTTCGACCAAGCTCATAAAAAACTCCACTGCATCTTGTTGTTCCCTAAGATTAACAGGTTCGCCCTGCAATCTATAAATCATAAATTTAACAACGTTACCATTTGCGAAAAGACATTTTAACAAAATATATGAGAAATCAATTATTTTCGACCAAGCAGTTTTGCTTACTTAAAATGTTTCCAAAGACCTCTTGGTATGTAATATTGTAGTTTACTGTAAGCCAAATGTCCAAATATAGCTTGAACCTGTTTTAAAATGCCAATATTATATTCTTTCCTTGACTCGTCAACTCCACATTTTTCTTCATTGGTATCATTATCGTTAGTTTCTATTGTTTGTTCTCCTTCAATTCTTTCTTCTCCAGAAAAATCTTCGTTTAAATCGGTTGCTGCACCTTCAGCAGCTAATAGTCCAACTCTAATACTTTCAACCATGTATAATTGTTGTAATACTGAGTTCATATAACATGTAGCTCCAGCATTTTTCAAACCTACGAAGCCTTTTAGTGGCCTAAGCCCAACCGGTGGTAAATAGTCCCATTCAATTAATGGCTCATCTCTTTCAGAATAAAACATGTCAGTGAGCATCGTGACTAGAAGTTTCATGTTGGGTACGCAACCTGTACAAAGAGCTACAAGTAATTCGAAGGCTGCGCTGGTTGACTGAGGAGTAGTACACACTGGACAAGCTTGAGATGAACTTAATTCTCCGGTACTACGTAGTTGCAGCATTAAACGTGATGCAGGGAAGACAAAATCTTCTACCAATTCCTACAATTATCATAGATAAATAAATATATCATTAAAAATCATACATTTGTTCTTTAGATCTAACACTATTATTACTATTCAATATTTTATGATAGCTTTTATATTTCTACCTTTATTAAATTGATTCCATGTTTCTCGTCAGATCCAATTTCGTACTTTTTATTAGCAGACAAGAAAGCTACAAATTCCTTAGATGACTCCTACAATTATCATAGATAAATGAATATAAACAAATATATTCATTAGAAATAATACATTTGTTGTTTATATCTAATACCGTTATTACTATTCAAAATTTTATGATAACTTTTTTATTTCTACCTTTATTAAATTGATTCCATGTTTCTCATCAGATCCTATTTCGTACTTTTTACTAGCAGGCAAAAAGGCTACTAATTCCTTAGTTAAACTAAGATGACCTTCAAGAACAGCTTCATCAACGTGACTTTCCCCCGATTCTTTAACTCTATCTCTCACTTGTTTTAACCAAGCTATTTCAATATTTAATAAGTTTTCTACAGCTAAGAAAGAACATCCTGACGTATGTGCAAAATTTAATAATCTACATAAGAGCTGAAATGTATACAAATTTAAATGAATATTATTTCTATCAAACGATATCAATAAAATATCATAATTGAATTATAATTACCTGAAAATACTCATGACACTGTTTAGAATTTTCCATAACTGTAGTATTTAAAACATTAAAGAGTAATGTAATAGTAAATAACACTGGTGGATTTCCACTGCGGCACCATGTCGACACTAGGAAAAATTGCTCTGCTGCCACAATTCTGATCGCTCTCGATGTACTAAGTAGTACAAGATCTATTAAAAACATTTGCCACATTTTTTCTCTCAATAGAACATCGAATGCTGCTGAATTAAGCGCTAAAGCTATTGTTAAGACTTCCAATGCTTCTTTACAAACTGTAAAAAAATATTTATATTCACGAATGAATAAACATCTTTTTATTTGTTCTTCTTCCTTTACAATTCTGAACTTTGCATGTTATAATATACTTACCTAGTACATCATTATTATCAGGACATCTTTGTTCCTTCTGATTGAGCTCATGCATCGCATGAAGACTCTCGATGGATGCATTAATATTGTTTAAATTTCCAGTTGATGCAGCCCAGGCTAATCTAATTATGGCACGAATGGTGGCCACATCAGGTAAATCTCGCGATAGCGCTAGCATAAAAAGCTGATGACATCTATCAGAATCCGTTCCACCAGAGAACATTCGTAGCGACAATGGCTTAACTAAACGCGTAGCAATACTTCTTAGCATAAATTCCGTGGTTTGATTAGGTATGCTTTGTAAAGCTTGTTTTAAAACTGTCACTGGATCTTGATTATCTTGTATATGATTATTATGATTTTCCGAGTGCCCAGCTTGAACTGTATCCAATACGCACGCCATTACATTTCCAACTACTGTTAATAAAAATTTGCAGAGTTTAAACACTATCAAATATGCAGATCGTTTGGTAGTCTCATCTGCATTTGGCAAAAATTTATTTTTCGTTAACATATCAAGTATGACCCCTACTTCGCCGCTTTTAATAAAATTAAATTGAAATTTAAGTGCTCTATCAGATAGAGCATCAAGGGTTGGCATCAACAATGCATATAACACCTAAAAATGAAAATATTATTTATATTATTTAATATCTACAAAAAATATATTAAACAATGAATCATCTGATTTTTATTATAAAATTACCAACCTCTAAATTATATAAAACTTCGCTAGGACTTGCAGTAAAAAATAAAGAATCTACTGTAGTATTATGTTCATTACAATGAGGACTTTGTGAAGTTTCATCATCTTCATAATGACCAAAAAACCATTGTAATCTTGACACTGTCAAATTATCAGGTGGTACCAATTGCAAAAGATTTCGAGCACCATCACGTAACTGAGCGTGTTGTAATGTACAACCAAGATCCGCTAATTGGAAGAAAAAATTCACACATTGTGGCCTCTGCGACATGACCTGAAAAATATTTTTAAAAGTAAGTAAAGAAACTACTCATAGGAAAGCCAATTCTTTTTATAAAAATAGATATGCAAAAAAAAATAAAGTAACTTACCACTCCGGGTAAACTGTTCTCAACATTGGGCCCATCGTAAGGATGATGAGGAGAACTAGTAGAACTATCTGAACTACTATCTGGAGAACTAGGCAGGTTACTATTTATCTGACTTAATCTTGCAGATAATAGCTGAAAATAATATCATTTATATGATCTTATTTACTTATACTTTATAATAATAATAATAATAATAATAATACCGAAAACATAAATATCATAATATAAAATAATAACATAGATACAAACCATTTTATCTCTAAGTGGAATTTGAGATAACAATTTTCTATCATCCGCTTGTTCTAAGCCTTCACCATTAATGAATAAATCGAGTTTTACGTTAGTTCCAATCTCTCTCATCTCTCTCCCTTTCAATCGACGTAATATTTGACGTTTTAATGAAGCCAATGTGTCATTGCTGTGTGTATATATCTCAATATCATCCGTATTACGAATATGATTTGGAAATCTAATTATAAGAGACAAATGTTTCCCACGAGCTGCTCTGTAATAAAATAAAACGATATATGTAAATATAAACGATTAAAAATGATTCAAAAATAAAATATACACAATGTTTACCTATGCAATGGCAATATTTTTCTTTCCTCTGGAAATGCGGAGTCACATTCGTTAATATACTCCTGCAACACTTTCATTACGCGACACATTTTTATAGCCTCCACTTTAATTTTATTTGACATTTGCTCATCTCTTTCTTCTTTCTTCCCAAGATAAACCTTACTTAAGGCAGATACAGTATCATAATGGGTTTTTAATCTATCCATACATTCTGCTATGTAATCATCATGAAATTCTAACGCGGATGATTGCAAACGTGGTCCTAAGTTAGTATTTACTTCTTTTAAAAGTTCTATAGCACGATTAGCGATTTCTTCAGGACTATTTGTTACCACCTGTTAATATTGAAAATATGATAGAGTTTTTAAAAAAACAACAAAATAAATTAATGAATACATGGATGTTAAACTAATTCACATACCCGCCACAAATAATCAGTTCCGATCAAATCAACATCATCCATAAGTAATGTTCTTTTCTTTAGTATCAACTTTCCTTGTTTAGAATTAACAGTTTTAAAAAATCTCTCGTAACACTTTATACCACTTTCAGTAAGCAACGTTGGATCTAATCGCAGTATATTATTTTCAAAAAAGGTTGTAGTTATTCCTGGATCTAGATCCTGTTCCTCTCCCATAAGTTTAGAAAACCATTTGAAACAAGCCTCCCGATCTGATACAAATACACCTTGTTCGGCTAAACACTGCCAAATTTGGTTGGCTTGTTCTGCACACAACCATAACTGACCATCCTAAGGAAGGGAAAATGAAATAATATTTAATATTGTTGATGTTGAAATAAGCTCAATTTAAAGCAAATAAGAAGACATATGAGCACAACATACTCTTAATAGAAAACGCAAAAAATTAAGTCTTTCGTGCACTTGCATAATATGATTGTATCGACCATCAGGCACAAAGGTATTTGGATCAAGGTCTGGATTCTCCTTTACCAATTGACGCACTTTGTCCATATAACTTGTTAAACTGTTACTTACAAGTACTACAACTAAATGGTCCTGCTGTAAACGTTCTATAACATCCTGTCTGAAAAAATAATTAAAAATAAATAAATCACTCAATCAAAATACTCGACACAAAAATCTACTCTTTAAATACCTATAATGTAAATTATGGCTACGTTGATGAGCTGGATTAGAATTTGCTTCGTATAACAAACAAATCTCTCGGATTTGTTTAAGAGCAGGTAAAGCCCATTTATCTCCACTTTTTAATTCTTCCACACATTTATCTAACCAGATTGTTTTTTGTGCATCTCTTTCTTGCGAACATGAATAATCTAAAATTTTAACATGCGCATTCAATGCCTGATCCATTATTTCAGTGGGAACTTCATCCGAATGAGCCAGATTCCAAAAAAGTGTTAACACCTAATAAATATACCAATTAAAAGTTAACCATTATTAACACAGATTATATATTTAATTATGATCGATAATTCAACAAACCTTATGAGCCATAACTCCATCCTTATCATCTTCTGCAAGTCTTCTAATCAATTCTAATAATTTTTCTCGTTGTTTTTTATTAGCAGTTTTCCAACTTGCCTGAAATATAAATAACAATAGTTGAGCGATCATGATATTTAATGGAAATAATATTTCAAAAGATAGTAATAAAAATAATAATACCTGAAAGCATTCGAATAGATGGTCAAGTTGTTCGGGACTAAAGTCCCAAGCTAATTTAGCCAACAAATCATGAACATTCTTTACAATAGCTTCATGTTTGCCAGCTTGAGCTGCCCATATGTTATCTAAGTCTTCTAATGTTAGAGCTCGTACTTTAATGATAAATCGTAAAATTTTTTCCAATTTTTCTACGTATTGTGGTTGATGTAGCGAATCTCTCAAAACTATTTCCAATACTCCGTTATCTTTAATCCATTTCTATAATATTGAAACAAATAAATTTGTATGTTAGACAAAAATTAAATGTTATATACAACACAAAAAATGAAGAAAGAATTGAGATACATACTGCCATACGTTCAGCAGTCAACCATTCTTCTTCCTCGACAGCAGTATTACGATGCTGATAGTAATTCACACTTGTAATAACTTTATTAACTTCATTTAAAGCATTCATTTTTCCATTAAAGGAAGATATTTGTAGTAGTCGCAATATCATTTTTAATCTCAGTATCTCCAGGTTTTTTATCATTTCTTCTTGATGTGGTACTCTTGATACCAAACATTTAGCAGCTTTAATTATGGCTGATATGGCATCATTTTTTGCTTCATTTTTAGCCTCTTTCTTTAATTCATCATCAGTTAAATTGTCCAAAATAACAGGTATCATTTCCTACGTTAACGAATGTAATTAAATATTTGCATAATAACAAAAATAAAGATTAATTAAAAATAACAATGATACTTACCACAATGGGCATATGATATTTAATTATTGTATGAACTGTCAGTAATTCATAACATAAACCAAAAGGCCTAATCAGGGCATAGATAACTGGCACAGTTAAATTACGACGACTTTGAAATCTTGATAGAAGAATTTCAAATCCCTTCAACTTTCCAAATCTAAAACACATCATCAAAGAAAATAAGAATAAGAATAATAATCATTTTGTAAAATACGAGATTCTCTAAATGATAGATTAAAAAATACCTATTTATTAAATCTACGAGCCACCCACGAGGTGTTCTCGACTCGATAGGTGGACGCGCATAAAGTTCCTCGTCTGGAATATTACTTCCAGGAGGAACAGTTTCAGATGCTCTTGCTGCATTAAATGTATGAAATCTGTGAAAGATTTTGATATATTATATACACATTTAATAATAGATGTAGACAATCTTTAGAACATAACGATAAAATTGATAAAACTTACTTGTTACTTGGATCAAAAACCATTGCTAATAAATCAAGTAATGGAAACCAATCTTCATCTAATTTCAAAACACAGAGTTCCACTAAGTGTTCACAATTCGCATTGATATAGTTGTGAATGTGCGATTTCCAACTATTTACCGCATCGTCTGTCAATATTTTGGTAAAAGAAATTGTAAGCCCTTCACGAAAGAAACGCTGGCACGCTTCGCTTTGTACATCAATTCCTAAAGAGTTTTTCAAAATAAAATCCAATGAAAATGTAATTGAAAGCTGGAAATATTCAAATATATAAATTACTAACCCTTTTTACAAAGCTCAATGCTAGCTTGTAAGAGGCACTCTAACTCTTGTTCAGGTAGGACTGGGACAACCCATCGTGAACTAGATATTTTTTCATGAAGTATGTTCAGTTTAGAGATAGGAAAATCAGGTTCTCTAAGGTGCTGATTACTGTCGTCTACAGAAGTTATAGCATCGTTGACGCACTCAGTTTGTACCACATTTTCTGCGAGGTGAAGACCTGACATTGAATCAGCTAATTGTTGTGAACCAGGTGGACTATGCATCTGTCGAAGAAAATGTTTACCAAACTGTTTGAGCAATGGATACAAAAATTTAAATATAAACTTGTAAATAAACAATATGACAATATAATACATGTTTTATTGCATATTCTAAAAAATTCTAATTACTTTATCTGCGATATTATTGATAGGTTTATGCATAAATCTAATAATAAGTAATTAAATCATTGTTAAATATAAAATACCTGTGAACTCTGCTGGCTATCGGGAGGGTCTATTCCTACCCCCTGGCCCCTTGTAGCAATTGTCATTTTCTTGCTGTTCACTAGGCTCCAATTATTTTAATAATTCTTGGTCCAACGATTGCACCACCAATAACAAGCACTCGATTCATGTACTGACATTAAATATAATTATATCCTAAAGGCCTTGATTCGATAAAGAATATCTACATTATCTGTAACAAAAATTATATCAAGAAGACAAATTCTTACTTTCACAATCGCATCTACTAGAAAAAGAATCTAAATCACTTAAATCAATAATACAAATTCTCCTTTATAAAAAATGCAAGACGTCTGATTTAACATATTTAAAAAGATATACAACCAAGTCGTACAATGAAAAATAATCAATTGCACGTAAAGTGCAATTTAAAATAACACTTGAAAACATCACTTCCTTGAATATTAATAATTAAAAAATTGAAAATAACGTTATGTAAGTATTTCTCTTTCAAAAAGATAAAAAATTAATAAAGAAACAAAAAGAAAAGAAAAAATATTGCCAGAAAATTCGACAATAAATAATCGTACAATCTTGTGCAAAATCACAACTGAATAAACTCCTATGAACGACGTAATAATAATAATAAAGAATATTATAAAATAGAATGATAATAATCAAAAAAGATGCACGACCATTTTCCATAAATTCAATAGAAAGTATATACTGTAAATTTATCTTCACCCATAATACATACAATGAAAAGAGAAAAAGAAAAAGAGAGAGAGAGAGAGAGAGAGAAAGATATAGTCGGCATGAAGGACAAAAAGTAAAAAAAAGCTAATCTCCGAATCGTACGACATTAAATAGAATCTCGAAAAAATTAAAAAAGAAAACTAATTTTGGATTAAACGAAGACAAAAAATTAAAATAATTGTTGTTCGAGCATTTGTAGACAAATGGATGCAATGTGCGTGTGGAAGATACTCGAGATATTACGAAGTTGAACGAATCGAATGGAAAGACGAGTAAGAGGCAGAAAAGAGAGAGAGAGAGAGAGAGAGAGAGAGGCAGAAAATGTGAAAAAAGGAAAATAAAGAGACTCACTTCTTAAATATGACTAAAACAAAAAGGATGTCGTGTTTCGATAATTTATTATCCTTCTTTAAGCGGGGTGTATCTCTGAATTACCGAACTGTCAACGGAACTAAGCAAGGAAGATGGAACTCGCCGACGACGAGCCGGTTCTTTGGCCGACCTTCTAGGAGGGTAGGAGAGAAAGAGAGAGAAAGAGGGGAAGAGGGAGAGAGACCGATCAAGGGGGAGGAAATTTGATGGCGAGGGGAAGTGGCAGGAAGAAAAAGGAAAATAAATTAGCTTCCCTTTTCATGAGTTTTCTATTGGAAATTCAACTTTATGTATCTGCTGCGAGAATTACGTAGAACGTTGATACTTACGAGAGAAATAGAGATAGAAAGAGAGAGAGACAGAGAGAGAGAGAGAGAGAGAGAGAGGAAATATGAGAAAGAAAGAGACGATGGAAGTCTAACTACCCGAACGACGTTTTAAAGAGTTAAGATCCCCCCCTCTAACATTTACTTAACACCCTAATTCTTCTTAATAAGAAGTAAGATTGTCTTAAATGTGAGATCGTTAGATCTAAGGATCAGTTAAAAGTATTTAGACAAACCTCCCGCTCCAGGGAGCACCTATTTTCGCCCGTTCACTCGACCGGGCCACCTCCGGACAAAATGGCTACCATCCTAACGATTGCCACTACGGTATATTAAACGAATGAGACTCCCGTATATATCAATTTAACGACGTTCTTCTCGAACTAACGATATCACGTAGATTTAAATCGCTATTATCGTATCTAACAGTTTAAGAGTTAGATTTTTGTCCGTTCTTGATCTTTAACGTCTAACGCACCTTTACATAGTAAAGGGTAAATAGAAATTTAGTCTCTTGCACTTTTTGACGTGACGTTATGGAGCTTACTGCGCGAATCTGTAAACACGACTCTCTCAGTCTCGTGGCGCTACGTTGCCTTGCGTCCGTCGCTTGAAATTCGTTCTATTAAAGCGCCGTCCTCATAATGCGGCATCTAGTTCCCCGCTAAATTTTAATCTTAAACTCACCCTTACATTTTTCCACCATTATTTTTACAATAGGTGTATTTATCTATTACCACAATATTTAGCATTTTTTTTTTTATAATTATTCTTAAAATCATCTTTCTTCATTTTTTTATTATTTATTTATTATTAGTTACATGCAGTAAATTTTTTGCAAAAAAAAAAAAAAAAGAAAAGAAAAA